TATAAACAAAAAATTAAAAATGTAATTATTACCAAACGACATAATAGTTAAAATCTCTAACATTTTTATTTTTATTTTTCTATCTAAACATTAAACTAAAATTCAGGTCTCGTTTGGGAACAGGCTATTTTAGTAACTTTTTGACTTTTTACGAAAAGAAATGCATAAAAGTAGAGAGATGATGTGATTAGTTTTAATTGACTTTTTGACTTTTTAACTAAAATAAACAGTCCCCAAACGAGGCCTCAATCTCATAATTCTATCCCACCAAACAACCACCACCATCTCTCTCAGAGTGAATGAATATGAAGCCAAGGAGCCAAACGATCACTGCCAGTGCATGCTCTAAATGCGGTACAGTATGGGTACGATCGTCCATCCAGTCAGAGAGAGTGAGAATTTGACAATAGAAATAGAAGTACCTAGAGTTTGATATGGCTCACATATCAATAAGATCAAATTAAATTAGAATTTCATTAAATGAACTCTGAAAAATGTTACCATGGTTCGTTGAATCTGTAGTCTTCACCTGCAGCCTTTTAAAACCGTTGGCTTTCACCGCCAGATTTGGTTTTTCAGATAAAAATTATTTATTTTTATTTATTATTTTTTAAAATTTTAATATAATTGATCTTGTATTTTAGACCAATAAATTGTAGATAAACTTTCTTCCTTTCGTGTTTGACTATTTTCACTTTGATTCTTAAAATTTGTTTGATTTCACTTTGGCTTTCATGTTTCAATTTTTTTTTCAATTTATTCTAAAAATTAATTTATGTTCAAAATTAAATAGAAAATGATAAATTGACGGCAACTTGTCTTGCTAGCCACAAATAAAATATTAAATACATATAAATTATTAGTTAAATATTCTTAGCATAATTATATATTTTTTTCTTGTTAAATATTGAAAGTATATTTTCTTTATTATTTTGTTAATATAAAAAAAATTATATATCATCAGATTAATTTATACATGTTTTAAAAAAAAATTTAACATGTTTAATAAAAATAAAAGAAAGAAATATTATATACTTAAAAGTCAATTTCATCATTTAACTAGTTAATTCAGAGATTGGCTCAATCCGCTCATTACTATCCCACATATGGATAGTCTGATTTTTATTTGACTAATATTAGAGATTCCAAAAATTTTATCAAAACTTCTACCGAATGTCTCACATGAATATGAGACTCACATGAAATCTGAGTCCCACGAAAACATTGTGTGTTTGGTAACGTTTACATTTTCAGTTTATATTTACAAAAATTTTATAAATTGATTTTTGTTTATTTTTTGCTTATTTTTAAAAAAATATAAACTACAAATGCATTTAGTAATTGACAAAATATTTAAAAAAATTTAAAAAAGAGTGAGAAATGACTTTTAATCTACTTGTTAAAACAGGTTGTGGGTAGCAAAACAAGTTGCTTATGTTCAAATTTTTTTCGTCACATTACCTCACTATTTTTTTTATACTTCTTTTTAAAAAAACCAAAAAAAATTAAAAATTAAAAATTGACTTTTAATCTACTTGTTAAAACAGGTTGATATAATTTCAAGACACTTTCATCTCTCTAACTCAGGTGAGAGTTCTAACTTTTTCCGTATAGAATTTATTAAGATAAAGAAGGCATTTGCAAGTGATTAATAAGACGTGCAACTGTCTCTGAAGCCTCCCCATTTCGCAACCCTCCTTCCATCTCCACTTGTTTAAATAAGTTGGGTAGCGAATGTTCTAGGAATGTCACATAAGAAAAAAAAAATTAAAAAATAATTATAATAACATTATAAAACACTTTTATTAATTTTAAAATATTTTCTTAATTTAATTTTTTAAAATAATTTTTTCCACCATTTAAAGTATTTTTATGCAAATATTAATACTTTTGTTAGTATTTACCAAACACGTTTAGGAATTAAGTAAAATCAGATACATAAAATAATATTGATGGGCAAAATTTTTTAAAAGTAGAAACTCAACTAATAGATTTTATAAATTCTTCTCTATTCATACTATTTATCACAATATTTATTTAATCCCGTGTATATTTATATAATCAAAGTTGTCTGTATGCATAATAAGACCTATTATATTTAAGAAATAATACTTTTACGCGAAGAGTTGGAGTAAAAGATTTTGATAATATATAATAATCTTTTCTTTCCAAAAAATCTACACACCCTCAATATCTAATGAATTAATGAATAAACAAAATTTAAATCATTAATTTATAATAATAAAAAGCCAGAATAATAAAAAAATGTTTGAGGTCTTTAAAAAAGCTCTCACAGTTGTATTCACAATGATATAATATCATATCAACAATGCTACAGACCCCCAATACGGACGACCCCCACCGACCCCCAGTGCCACGTGTTGGCCTGGGATTGGCCGGAAACTAAAAAAAAAAAAAAAAAAAAAAAAACAATTTTTCTGCCCAATCATGGGCGACCCCAGCACCCCCAGCTGGGGGTCCAAGTCATTTTTCAATATCATATAATGTGTTAACTTTTAATTTAATATATACCCAATGATATAGAGCCTAATTTAGGTGGTGTTTGATTAAACTGAAAATTAAAAACTAAAAATTAAGTATTGAAAATTGAATATTGAATTTTTTAAACTGAAAAACTATTTGATAAAAAATTTGAGTGTTGAACTAAAAATAATTCGTATACGATTAAATTTAGAATTTATTATTTTTAAAGTTTATATTTCAATTTTTATATTATGATAGTAGTGGTAGTAGTTGTGGTGGTGGTGGTAATAGTAGCAATAGTAGTAGTAGTAAAATGATGATGGTGCTTATGACAACAATGACAATGGTGATGAAAGTAATGGTAGTAGTTGTAGTGGCGGTGACAAGATGGAGGTGGCAATAGTAGTGCTGGTGGCTGTAGTGATAGCGGTAGCTGTAGTAATGGTAATAGTAGTAATAGTAATAGTGGCAGTGACATGATGATAGTGGTTGTGGTGGTGATAGCGATAGCGATAGCGATGGTGATGGTGATGGTGATGGTGATGGTGATGGTAATGGTAGAGTAGTAGCGATAGCGATGACAATGATAGTAAAATGATGATGGTGCTTATGGTAACAGTGACAATTGGTGTATTCACTCAAAAAATAGTGACAATGGTGATGAAATTGGTAGCGGTAATAATAGCAATAGCGATAACAATAATAGTAAAATGATAATGGTGCTTATGGTAGTAGTGGTGGCAGCGGCAGCAGCATGATGGTGATAGTCGTAATGGTGGCGATGGAATGATGGTGTTAGTAGCAGTGGTGAGTTTACAGTATTGTATATCGATATTTATGTTTAGTATTTATAATTTCAATTAGAATAAAATAAGTATCATATGATCTAAAATTTTTATAAATTTTAACTTATATTTTAAGAGATAATTAAGTGATATCAATTATAATTATTAAACCAAGCGAATTGATTATCCCTTACTAATATATTTAGTTTTAAATATTAAAGCCTTGTTTGGGGTGTACTAATACACTTTTTATCTTTTTATCTTTTTTTCATCACATCACCTCTCTATTTTTCTGTACATATTTTCATAAAAATTCAAAAAGTGCACTTATTTAGATCATCCCAAACCACACCTAAATCATATTATCAAAGGCAGTGGCTTTGGTCTAGTCCAAGATCAAATTGGACCGTGTTGTTGGGCCTGTGGGGGCCACCACAGGTCCCGTTTTGATAATCCGAACCGTTCAATGTGTAGAACTCGTCGAGTACTATATGCCTATAAAAAATCACGTTGATCGGATATCGATAGCTATGTGACCAAAACAGTTTTTTATCAACTGCTAATTTTTTCACCGTCTATTTTTTTTTATACAAATTGATTTGATCACATAGCTATTGATATCCGATCAATGTGATTTTTTATAGGTATATAGTACTCGACGATTTCTACATATTCAACAGTTCAAATTATCAAAACGGATAAAAAAAATGGACCCTATGAATCGAACTGGACAGGTCTAGTCTTGATCTCAACTTGAGACAAGCTGGACCCATTATCAAATAACTCTCTGAATAAATTTTTGTACTCACAAGAATGGGTCTCCGTCATCGTTCAGAATAATATATTTTCATTGCTCAAATAATTGGGAAGTGTTTGGAAAGAAAGCTTTTTAGTTTTTTTTTAGTTAAAATAGCACTAAAAAATAAAATAGGTTAAAAGTTAATAAAATAAAATATCATATTAAATTCATAATCATTTTATTTTTTCTCTTACAAATATCATATTCAACTACAAAAAAATTTAACCATCTTCTCAAACACAAAAATTCTACCCTCTTAAAATAACTAAAAACTAAAAACTAAAATATTCTACTATCACTTCTGCCAAATCAGGAATGAAAAGAAACCGTTCTCATAGTGCTCACATGTGAAGTAATTAATTGACAACACCATCACAATATTAGTGTAAATTTAGGTCTAGTTTGGGAAGACTAAATAAGTGTATTTTTTGACTTTTTATGAAATATGAGTTGGGTTTGGGTTAGGTTTGAAGTGATGTATTAGAGAAGTGATGTGACTTAAATAAGATGATGTGACTTAAATAGGATAGTGACTTTTTGACTTTTTATCTTTTTTCAATCTTCCCAAACTAGGCCTTACTCCATTTGTTTTTGCTCACACTTGTATGTATATAAGAAAATGTTTGAGGGTCACAATTTTTGTGGTTATAATGGTTTAAAATTGTCAAAATGAGGTCGTTTTGGCATGCTTTGCACTCAAAACGACATCGTTTTGACAGTTTTGAACCATTGTAACCACAAAAATTATGAGACCCTAGCATTATTGATGTATATATATATGCATATCTTTCTCTACCATTAATTTTAATGCCTACCACTGGTTTTCTAGTTGAAAAATATTAATAGCCTTAATTGAACCCACCTGTAATTTCAAGCTGTTTTCCTTTCTTATACCACTTTCCCCCTTTGCTTCCTCCCACATTATACTCTCTTACTCTCTCTCTCTCCACCACCACCAACACCACCACCACCACCACCACCATGGATTCAATCTCATTTTCCTCACTCTCCCCCTACTACCATCTCATCTTCACTGCTCTAGCCTTCATTGCATCAAGCGTAGTCTTCTTGCTTTCTCGAAAATCGAAATCGAAGGTGGTCAATCTCCCTCCTGGACCCCCGGGTTGGCCAGTCGTCGGAAACCTCTTCCAAGTCGCTCGATCCGGCAAACCCTTCTTCCAATACGTGAGAGATCTGTTACCCAAGTATGGTCCAATCTTTACTCTGAGAATGGGGACTCGAACCATGATCATCATCAGCAGTGCCGAGCTCGCTTACGAAGCACTTATCGAAAAGGGTCAAGTCTTCTCGAGTCGGCCGAGGGAGAATCCGACCAGAACCATCTTCAGTTGCGACAAATTCACCGTCAACGCCGCCGTCTACGGCCCCGTGTGGAGGTCCTTGCGGCGGAACATGGTTCAGGGCATGCTGAGTACGAGTCGACTCAGAGAGTTTCGTGATGTGAGAGATGTTGCCATGGATAAGCTCGTTGCTCGGCTTAAATCCGAAGCAGAGGCTAACAATGGGGCTGTTTGGGTGCTGAGCAACGCTCGGTTCGCAGTTTTCTGTATTCTTCTATCGATGTGTTTTGGGGTCGAAATGGACGAGAAAATGATCGAGAAAATCGATCAGATGATGAAGACTGTGTTGATTACTGTCGATCCGAGGATTGATGATTTTTTACCCATTTTGAGTCCATTTTTTCCGAAACAACGGAAGAGAGTCACGGAGGTTCGGAAGGAGCAAATTGAAGGCTTAGTTCCATTGATCGAGAAGCGTCGAGCGGTGCTCAAAAACCCGGGTTTGGAACCAAACTCGGTGTCTTTTTCGTACCTCGACACGCTTTTCGATCTTAAAATTGAGGGTCGAAAATCGGGTCCGACCACCGCTGAGATCGTCACTCTCTGCTCCGAATTTGTCAACGGTGGGACGGACACGACAGGTACGGCAATCGAGTGGGCCATCGCTCGAATGATCGAGAACCCGGATATTCAATCCAGGCTCTACGATGAAATTCGATCGACGGTCGGTGATCGGAAAGTGAACGAGAGAGATGCAGAGAAGATGGTGTACCTAAACGCCGTCGTTAAAGAGTTGCTACGTAAACACCCTCCTACGTACTTTTCATTGACCCATGCAGTCATAGAACCAGCCAAGTTAGCGGGTTATGATATACCCACGGACACCAATGTGGAGTTCTTTTTGCCTGGTATTTCGGATGACCCGAAGTTATGGACCAACCCGGAAAAGTTCAACCCGGATCGGTTTATCACCGGGGGAGAGGACGCTGATATAACGGGGGTGAAGGGAGTGAAGATGATGCCATTTGGGGTCGGGCGGAGGATTTGTCCGGGTTTGGGTATGGCCACAACCCACGTGAATTTGATGATAGCCCGGATGGTTCAGGAATTCGAATGGTCCGCTTACCCGGAAAATAGCAAAGTGGATTTTAGTGAGAAGTTGGAGTTCACTGTGGTGATGAAAAATACACTAAGAGCCAAGGTCGAACCAAGGGTTTGACTAAAGTGGTTTTTTTAAGGTGACAGCGAGGTTTATAAATATTTTATTTTATTTTATTTTTTGGGTGTTTTGTTTGTTTTTATTGTTTAATTTTGGGTTTAAGTAATTAGTGGAGTTTATGCAATATTGTATGTTTGGAATGTGAAACTCTTTGCCACACAACAAAAGAGGCACTATCCCTTTCAATCAATGTGACTACTCGTGTTTATTAAGTATAAATGTTTGGTTAGCTCATGGAAATGGGCCGTGAATTTTTCCAAATGTGATTTTGGTTTACAATTTTTCTCTCATAATAACTTTAGTAAAGAGTAATAACATTAATAAACTTTAATCTTTTTTATTTGTATGTCTAAAGTTTTTAGAGGTGTCCACCACCATTTTTTCCTCCTCTCATTTAAAAAAGAGGAATTACTGTAAGTCAATCAAAAATACCAAACGAACAAAAAAGTCTCACACTAAAAAAAGTCAAAAAAATTAAAAAGTTAACTTAAAAAAATCATTGCCAACCAAAGCCTTCATGAGGTGGTGATGGCCACATTGGCCCCTTGTGTAAGCTCAGACGGATTGTTGTGATATATTTGATATATAATATGCTTTTTATAACTTTTGTTAGGAAAATTGTCTATTAATGTTAAAGTTGCTATAAAGCTAACAAAATATCTATACTCACTCTTATATGTAATGTGTACAAAAACACATTTTGAAGCTTTATGACAAGTTTTCACATTTCAAAATTATCTCTATATATCTTTTACTTTCAAATTTTGTAATTTTTTAAGCACACGTAAACTCATTCTAATAGTAATTTATGTACACAATTAGAAGTTCACAAGATGAAAATGACACCTAAAAATAAAAAGGAACATCTGTGGTGGAGTTTATTGGTTTTAAATTAAAAAAAATTATTAAGTGTTTTAGAGACATCACGTCTCTATTTTTAACTAACCATCGATTGTTATATTCTATATTGTTTTTCATTATTAGTAGAAATTAATAAGCTCCGCACCTATTTTATCAAGGAAAATGTTTGGTGGTCGTAAATTCCGTGGTTCAAATGGCTTGAAAATACTAAAACGACGTCATTTTGACATTTTCGGAGTTGTTTTGTATCTAAAATGATGTCGTTTTGGTATTTTCGAACTATTTAAATCACAGAATTTGTGACCACCAATTATTATCGTTTCATCAATTACATTTAATTTGTGACATCACATAACCATAATTTGTCTTTAATTGGAGAAGGTGGCCGGTATTCTTGGTTGACCTGTTTAATAAGGCTAATAAATCTAATCTCAAAAAAATAAAATTAAGGCTAATAAATACTAGAAAACACTTGTATTAAATTTGGGTCACATTGGCTGACAATGATTTCACGTATGTGGTGTTGTCATCAATTTCGACCTGGCATATGCACGTGTAAAAATATGTATACACCAAAAGCCTTGGACTTTCTCCAAGTAAATTGCTGCCAACGCAATTTATTCTTTGGTCAGTGTCTCAGAGTGATTCTTTGCTCAGTGTCTCAGTGTCTCAACTAGAGAGAGAAAAAAATATAGAGTGATTCTACCGCTACTTTAATTTTTTTATATCTTCAATCTCATTATATCATTAAAAAGAATATAATTCTTATTATATTTATTATATTATTAAAATTAATCTTAAAGTAAAGTTCTTTAAAAACTCTTTCATCTCTTTACACCAATAGTTTTTGGAAGAAAAAGAAGGGAATAGAAAAAGACCCAGCAAAGAGAAAGGAAAAGAGAAAGACGCAGTTAATTTATATTCCTTCAGTGTTATGTTGTTGGAAAAAATAAATTTCTCTAACATTTTGTTGTTATACATTTACATAGTCACTTTCTTCCAAATAATGATTTTTAAATTTGTGTTTGATTTGTTCAGTAATACAATGCTAATGAATTTAAATTGATCCAGTGTCATGTTACCAGACAAACTTTTTTTCTTAGCAATATGTTGACGTTCAATTGGATGATAATAAGAAATTAATTCGGGGCCATTTGTGCAATGTCTGTTTGGTAATACATTGCTATACAAATTAGATTGCTCTAGTGTCATGTTGCCAAACTATAATAGATTTGTCTAGCCATTTCTCGTTGTACGTTGAAAGATTTACTTTTTTCTTCAAGCATCTATAAAAAGATATCTATAAATGAAACATGCATCCATAAAATCATACATAAAAAGTATCGATAAAAATATCAAGTGTACGAACATCCATAAAAGCATCCATAAAATCTGTCATTGTTTGCATCTATCAATCAAACATGTTATCAAAATTCATCTATATTGATAGTTTTGGTAGTTACTACATCAGGTCTGACAAACAAGCGGAATTGATGAATATGGGTAGTATATGCTTTCTCCTATCCACTAGCACACGGGTGATAAAAATGAATTCAATTATTTGTTATCTGAGGTACTGGATGACCAGGTTACAAATAAACTTATAACAAAGACATCAATAAGTAAAATTAAAAAATAAGATATGGTAATGATCTAAGTAGGCTCAGTAGTTTATACTTGCACGAAATGGTATCAATTTATAAATCCTATGCAGATATCTCTTTGATTAGGTGTTGCAGTCGATATTGATCTAAGTGGTAGAAATGTCAAGCACCGTTGCATGGATAAATGATAAAGAACGACTCAGTAGGATGATGCTATCAAATGACCTATGCCAGGTATAGTCATCCAATGATTAAATCCAGGGCCATGTTCAAAGTAGGATAAAATAGAAGTAATGTCATCAACCTTTTCCTGTGAACCTAGTGCACTACATTTGAATGCAGCTCAAGTGTAAGTCTTGATTTTTTGCCATTACTTTCTGCATTTGATGTCTTTATAATAATGATAAATCCAATCTTCTTCTTAACGTCAGAAGTCCATTTATTAATATTTGACGGCTACTAAAAGTCTAAAGATAATAAATACATTTATACGTTAAATTATTAATATAATTTAATACAAATTAAAAATAAGAAAAAAATCATATTCATAAAAAAACTTAACAAATCTCGTTTGTAATGAATTCATGACTGGAGTCCTCTAATAATGTAGTATTTGCATTGTTGCAATGAGTAGAAGCATAATCATTCCAAGCAAAATATATATATATATATATATAATGTAACGCCCTCAAAATATAGAGGATAAACCAACCCAAGGGATTCATAAATATGATAGAAAAATGTTATACAATCATTCATCAGAGTTTATATTACAAGAGACACTACATGCATTATACTTTCATAAATGTTCATTCTGAAACTACAACATGTAATATTAGTTGATTACAACAAAATAAACGCCCTACGGGCTTACACATTTCCAAGATATCATTGGGTTACAACAAAAGAAAGAGTCCTACCTCTATACATATGAAGCCCTCGGCTTGAATAAACATTTAACACAAAACAAGATAACAAAATGAAGCCTTCAGCCCTTAAACCTCCCAAGCTATGTCATTGGAGGCGGCATGTCACCTGTACCTGAAAATGGTTTCCCAAATAGGGTGAACCAAAGCCTAATAGAGATATGCTAAAACAGTATATGAGATTTAACTAAGATATAAGCATCAGATAAATGTGCAATATTCATAACCAACACATATTCTTTCCAAGACCATTCAATATAAATAACCATACCTCAATCCATTTCCATTCATCCGTTTCAGATTAATTTATTTACCAAATTCGTTATCATCTAATCAACCAAAATGAGACCACAACTCAGTGGTTTATAATTCAATACATTCATCAATCCAACACTTCTATTTTCTTGCCATTTTAAGGAATTCACATTTGAGGGAATCGACACCCATATATATAAGATTTCAGGACTTTCACTCTGGACACTCTAGCCAACTTAATTTCAATAGAGTCCATCCCCTATCTCCTCCCAAACAATGGAGTACATCCCCTATCTCCTCCCAAACAATAATATATGTACAATGTATTTAAAAGCGTTGTCATATACAATGACTAACCAAGTCACATATTTAATGATTTACTCAAACCATCATATTCAATGACATAATTCAAACGATTAGTTTCAATTCACCTAATCCTTATGCAGTTTCTACAACAACCATAGCTATCCTCCACCGATAGCCCAAAACAGATATTTCTAAACAGATACACAATCTATTAAACCGATAATTTATCAAATTTCCATAGGTGAGTGACTTAACAAATCTAACTACACTAGTCATTTATACACTCTTCCAATTTCATATTTTCTACATCAATTTCATTATTTATACAAAATAATTTATTTAATACAAATTAGGGCAAGTTTCCTCTTGTTACCTAAAAAGCAACCTAAGAGGGGGGTGAATTAGATTTCTACAAATTAAAATTAATAATACCCCAATAAAATTAACTACTAGTACAACAAATTATTAACAAGCACAATGATGAACTTAGCAGTAAATGATCAAGCAAAATAACAATGAAGTATAACTAACATACATGGTAAATCAAATGATTAACATATGAATATTAGATAGCTATAGCAGTAGTAGGAAAGTAAAGAGATTATGGAAGAGGAGACAAACAGATTTATAGTGGTTCGGCTTCAACCAAGCCTACATCCACTCCTCAAGCTTCACTTGTTATTTTTCACTATCTTCTAGCTTCACAGGGGTGCTAGCAATCTCTTTACAAATGGAGCAATCCTCTACAAATTTTACATAAACTTCACAAGCCCAAACCTTTGCAAATCTTAGGTGATTCACAATCACTCTCAAGATTTCAAGAACACAGTATTACAAGATGAAATGGTATTTTTGCTTTCAAAGAAAACTTACAATAAATATCTCTCAAAGATAAATATATAAAATGAAGTTTTGATTTTTTTGTAAATCTCACACATGAAAGATGAGCTTAATGCTATAAGACTTAGTGTATAATTTCTGAGCGATGATGTAAACAAAAATTGAAGAACACTTCTTAGAGAATTTTTCAGAGAATAGATGTGAGTGATTATAGATCAAAGAATATTTTCTGATTTTTTGTAACTTGTTTATTTTTGAGGCTTTGGTATATCTAATGAAAGTTATAGCCGTTTATAGCCGTTGTATTTATTTGAATTTATAGCCGTTGTACTCCATCATTACTAATTTGAATATCTTCCACTTCATCATTACAAATTTAAATATCTTCCACTTGAACCTTTTGAACCTTTTGGCCTGCTGCTGTACTGGGCTGTTTGAACTTTTGTTTTAGACTGTTTGAACTCCTGAT